GTCCTCCGCCTGCAGCGCCAGCACCCCGGGTTCTAGTCCCGATTGGGGCGCTGGATTCTGTCCTGGTTGCTGCTCTTCCAGTCCAGCTCTCTGCTGTGGCCTGGGAAGGCAGTGGAGGATGGCCCATGTCCTTGGGCCCTGCACCCGCATGGGAGACCAGGGGGAGGCACCTGGCCCCTGGCTTTGGATCGGCACAGCGTGCCGGCTGCAATGCGCAGGCCATAGCAGCCACTTGGGGGGTGAACCAACGGGAAAAAGGAGGACCTTGCTCTCTGTCTCTCTCTCTCTCACACTGTCTAACTCTGCCTGTTAAAAAAAAAAAGTTAATTATTGCCATATATTTTAAGAGCAAAGGGAAACCCTTTGAGGATGTTAGGCAGGGATATGGCATGAAACAATGATTTATTTGCATTTTGTCAACATTATTCTGGCTACTCTGTAGAAAAATTTCTGAGAGAAAGGTGGTGCAGATGGCTTTGAGAAGACCAGAAGCGACTGGAGTCATCTAACAGGATGACAAAGTGGACCTTCCAGTAGCCTCTGGCTCATTGGTGCCTATAGCCCATGACTCAAGAGGTACATATCTTTGAGGACCTCTGAATTGTGCAAGATTGTGTAAAGCTAAAAGTACTTTTTCAGAGGTTCTGGCCCATCTAGTTTTAGATAGTCAGGGAAGCCTGCTACAGGGAACTGAATCTATTGATTGTGCTAATTTGGAAAGCATTTAGTATAGGCTATTAAATAATTTTTAGACTTAATCAGGAGGGCTAACTTCTAAAACCACACCCCGATGGACAATGGGTCTTCATGAGAGCTTACTTCTTCTGCCTCAATCAGAAAGCTGAGGAACAAGAAGGCTACCCTATGTTGCTATTGTAGCTCCACCACAGTATTTTACCAACTTCCCAGTGAAACAAGATGTGCAGAGAGATGCCCAGAAAGCTAAGAACCCAGGCCAGTGCTGTGGTGCAGAGGGCTAATGCCCTGGCCTGAAGCGCCGGCATCCCATATGGCTGCCGGTTTGAGACCCGGCTGCCCCACTTCCGATCCAGCTCCCTGCTATGGCCTGGGAAAGCAGTAGAAGATGGCCCAAGTCCTTGGGCCCCTGCACCCACATGGAAGACCTGGAAGAAGCTCCTGGCTCCTGGCTCCGGATTGGTACAGCTCCGGCCATTGCAGCCAATTGGGGAGTGAACCAATGGATAGAAGAACCCTCTCTCTCTGTCTCTCTCCTCCCTCCTCTCTCTCTCTCTCTTTTTCCTCTCTCTGTGTAACTCTGACTTTCAAATAAATAAATCTTAAAAAAAAAAAAAAAAGAAAGCTAAGATCTCTACCACAGCTATCACAGAATATCAGAATGCCCTAAGGAGCAGGTCTCATTATGCCTGGCTTTTCAACCACACAGATTTTAGCATTTTACTTGTCAGTACAGGAAAACTGTAGAACAATACCAGGCACCATTTGAGTTTGTGTGCAGAATCCACCAGATGCTAGCAGACATTGATCAAGAATTCACATTTTACACCTCACAGTCAATGCTGTGGACATTTGGGTACTCCCAGATCCTCAGTGTCCTCCTTCAGCAAATAAAGATATTTATCTTCCAGGGCTCTTGTGGATTAAGTTAAATACAGTAACACGGAGAAGAGCATTCAATAAATGCTAGATGAACACCATTCCACAACTTTATAGAGAAAACAGAATTCCTGAAAGATGTAGATCTTATGGAATTTACTGGTACAGATATTCAATGGCCCAAGTACATCTGGCTCTTGCACCTGCCACGTGGATTTTTGGAGCATATGTGCTCCTGTAAAAGTATGTGGAATTTGTATGTGTGTGTTCTGTTTTAGTTATTTGTTGATGTTATTTATTAATTTTAATTAGTTTTATTAACAAAATTAGCACAAGTACACAAACAGTGAAAGGGAGATCGCTCTTAGATTCTTGAGTATTACAACTATAAACATACTTGTGATTTAGACTCTTCTGTTTTTCGCTCTATATCCTTGGGTTATTTATTTATTTTACTCACTATAACTTAGAGTTCATTCTATTTTCATACACACAGAATTAATGACATATTAATGGTAGCTGATTGCATTCTTGTACAGAATTTTCTCTAGCTACTGTCCTTCCTTGCACACAGGTGACTATCTGTAGAATACATCTTTAGAAAGGGAAGGGCTGAAGTAAATGTTAGTTGCAGGATGTAGTTCCATTGATATGACCCAGTGTTTCTTGAAGCAGCTGTCTCACATTTTCGGTTTTACCAATCCTATATAAACTGATTTTTTTTTTTACCTACACCCTCCACGATCAATTCTTGATTTTGGCCAGTGAGTTAAGGGAAATAAAGAGATGATATTGGGATAGACCGAGAGGAATCCCGACCAAGGAATAGAAATGGTGGGTTAGTTAAAAGACAGCAGGTGAGGGCCGGCGCCGCGGCTCACTAGGCTAATCCTCCGCCTTGCGGCGCCGACACACCAGGGTTCTAGTCCCGGTCGGGGTGCTGGATTCTGTCCCGGTTGCCCCTCTTCCAGGCCAGCTCTCTGCTGTGGCCAGGGAGTGCAGTGAAGGATGGCCTAAGTGCTTGGGCCCTGCACCCCATGGGAGGCCAGGATAAGTACTTGGCTCCTGCCATTGGATCAGCGTGGTGTGCCGGCTGCGGCGGCCATTGGAGGGTGAACTAACGGCAAAAGGAAGACCTTTCTCTCTGTCTCTCTCTCTCACTGTCCCCTCTGCCTGTCAAAAAAAAAAAAAAAAAAAAAAAGACAGCAGGTGAGAGATGGGATTTACATTTAACTTTATAAGGAAAACTAATCACCTCCCAACACTTAGGCTGTGCCAGGCAGTGACTTAATGGGGCAGTTCACACGTTATTACATTTAATCCTTGTAAGCACTCTGTAAGCATTATTATTCCCCACTTGACTCTGTTGCCTCGTGTCTATCTGCTGTCCTTCCTGTGTTCTTCTCATTTTATAGTTGAGGAAACCAATCTTCAGCAAGACTAAATGACTTCTTCAGGATCCCAGAGCAATCTCAGTCAGGACAAGGGTTCCGTTTTCCAGCTCCCTGTGTGCTACTTTAGACCAGCATTCCAGTGTGTTCTAATGAAGCCACAAAGGATCTGTGTTTTCTGGATGTATTTCACCTACTGTTTAAGTTCAGTGGTCGAGTTGAATTCAGTCATTTCCTATAATCAAAGAGGTCCCATTTAGTCCAGTAGACGGGATCTTAAACACAGTGGTAGTTTTCAGGTTGCTGATGATAGGTTATCTGTAAGGTTCTTCCTCAGAGATTCTATGTTTCTTTCCATAGCAACTACTATATTTACCCAAGGAACACTCTTGACACTTCTACATGGGATGAAAACTCTAAGCTTCTTGAGATTTTAAGATGTTCTTATAAAGGATTAAGAATCTACTCCTGAATTCTACCCTTAGTCCCCTGGAATCCTAAAATTGGCTTGTAAATCTCTCCTTAAAACCATTCTCAGAGGCTGGGGCTGGGTGAGGTACCCTCTTCCTCATTGTTTTCAGAGGCCAGATCATGGAGATTTAGAGGACTGAGGTGGATTTCCCCACCCTCTTTCCCCACTTGGTTTTGGAGTCCAGGATTTCTTCTGTGGAGGTCAAGGCAGTTTTCCTTTAAATCTAAATAAGACTTCAGACTTTCTTTCACATTTCAAGGATGAGGAGACATACAATTATATCCCCAAATCCCGTTCAGGAGGTACTTTCTAAATGGCACAGAAATTGAGTAGGATAATAAAAAGAAGTGAATAAGAAATAAATCTTTCCTCTGGATAAATTAACCTAGCTGATGACTTTTATTTCTTCCAATCTGGAAATCCCAACTTTTGGAGTGTCTCAGTTGTAAAACATCCTAATGATGATCATTCTTTTAGGTCACAGCCATGAGTAGTACTGGAAAAAGAGCCCAAAGTAAGTGAAGTGTTATTGCCGAAGAATGAAATCTGGGTGTTGCAGTGGTCCTAGAAATTAACTAACCCACAGTCCAGTTTGGTAGAAAAGGAAAGGGAGATGGAGTGAGTATATGCTGTTTAGCTCTGGTGAAAGTCAGCTGAAATTAGAAGCACCCTCTCTTGCCCTCATTGTATATTGTCTTTGTGGTTCACTTTCCATTCTGTGATCTCTATTTGATAATCTGCTGAGAGAAGATGAGTGTTTGGGGTTTTGTTAGTTTTTTTTTTTCCCAAAGTGAACAGGGACTTATTTTCAAAACCATCCTAAATAGATCTATTTTCAACTAAGGAAAGCATACATAAATGAAAAAAAGAAACCCACTAAAAATTTGAAGAAAAATGAATAAGACAAAGTGGATCAAATGATTTTCACACAGGAAGCTTGGTTGATAGGTAGGATGTCTGATTTCTGTTTTGTTTTAGAAATTGCCAGTCCACATTTGGTTCTGTAAATGAATAAGGGCTATGTATTTATACAGTGGACTGAAGTCAGGAAACCAACTAAGTGGTTTTATCTTTGTGAATGATCGACTGCCTAGAACGTGTTTCAAATTAACTATATAAATAATCAAACAAGGTCCTTCATTGTACATTTCTCAGAGCAAACAAATTGCAATGTGTTTTTATAACCAGATAGTTATTTGATTTTTTCCTCCCTTTCCTACATTTGGATATAGATTGACATAGAATTTCTTAAAATGCTGCATATAAATTAAACATTAAAAGGCAGATACAGAGCGAGAGGCTAAGCTGCCCCATTATAATCTTTAGTTCCACAGTCAATGCCTCAAGGACACTCCATTTCATATCACATGTCTTTCTTTTGAAAGGTGATCACCAAGGTTCAAGTAACATTTAAGCACAGCAGGCAACTGCATAATTTATGGACCTTTTTTCTTTTTTTTTGGTGTGTGTATTCTTATTTTAATGCAAAACAGGAAAACAGAAGACTGTTTTCATACATTAATGTCTTTTTTTGTCTTCTCCCTTCCACCCTGCCTTTGCAGATAGGGGCCCTCAAGGACTACTACCACTTCTACCATAGCAGGACGATTAAAAGGTCAGTTCTCTCGAGCAGAGGGACCCACAGTTTCATTTCAATGGAACCAAAGGTAAGAAGAACCAGCTGGGTGGGGGCCAAGTGGCAAAGCTTCTGCATTTTTCATTGGTGGTAATAACACTCAGAGTTCATGAGCGACGTGAAGGCTCAAATGTCCCACTGTCATATTATCCTCTGGCCTAGTGTCCTACTGATATCAGGGACTTTTACACAAAATTTTATTAATCATTTTAAGATTACTATTTCGAGGGTTCTTGCCTTATATTTAGGTAAGAATTCTAAATATCGGCTGCTTATAAATGAAACAGGCAACATGGTACAGTTTAACATTTATTTAGAGAGAGAATAGGAAAGTGAGGGCTTTATAAGAGGGAGAAGGAGCTGAAAAGTTTACCAGGCTTTTCCAGGGAGTGAACTAGGGTTGCTAGGGAGAGAAAGCACGTGGGCAGGAAAGTACAGGAGCTGCGCAGGTGAGTAGGCATCAGAGGTGTGGGGGTGAACAAGAGAGCTGGTCCAGGCACTACAGGCCTTTTATTTACTTCCAACGGGAGTGGTTACATAGTCTTTTTGGCGGGTAGGTGTACAGGTGAGGTCCGGTAGGGGCATGAGATCACACAGGTGGCAGGTTGAAGGCGTGGTCTTCCAGCTCATGAGTCTAATACATTTAATCCCATCTGCCTTCCTGTATCAATACTGCCTCTTCAAAGGCAAATAGTCGTGCCTTGATGTTTACTGGTATGCAACTATCATCCCAGTTGTAGAGCTTCCCAGGGGTATCCATAGGTGTGGATTCTCTTGCAGAAATGAGAGGGAGTAGTGGTTTTGGAAGATGGATGGAGAATGACTGAAGTGTGATGAGTGCTATACCAGGAGTGGGCATTTGGCTGAATAGTTGACACCACTTAAGAGGCCTATGTCCCATACTGTGTGTTGGTGCCCTCGGTTTGATACCCAGCTGCAACTCCTGACTCCAGGTTCCTGCAAGTGAAGATCCTGGGCAGCAACAGTGATGGCTTAAATGATTGGGGTTTCTGCCACTAACTGAAATTGAGGACTGGATTGAGTTCCAGGCTCCTGGCTTTAGGGCCGCTGTGGGAATTCAGGCTGTGAACCAGAGGCTGGGAGCTCTCACTCTTTGTCATTCTCCTCAAGAAAAAAAAGAAGAAAAAAATACATGCCATGCCATGCCATCTTCCTGTTTGCATACAGATCTGAGGTTCTATGAGAGGAGAAGGAGAAATTTCTTCCAGGATCCTTAGGTCAGGCCTTGGGTCGTCATAAATCCTCATGATTTTATCTGGCTTTAATGGAGTCACATCGTTGGCAGCCCAGGGACTAGACAATGTCTGGGACAGGAAGGATACTGAACACAGAAGGGGTATAAGCCAGCTCCTGCTCCTGGGGACTCAGCAGGAGTCCTTTTTGGGCTGTACAGACAACATGTCCTCTGGTAAAGCCGAGGAGGAAATGTGATATGCCTGATTCTCTTATTTTAAAGAAATGGAGCAACTTTGAAATGGGAGGCAGAAGGCTGACTAGTGCTAGGGACTAATCCAGAAACCTCAGACTCTGTGGTTTAGTTAAATATCTGTCCCTATTAAGTTGGAGAAAGGAACTGACTTGTGATTTAGAATTAATTGGCTCCTCAGATGCGGCAAGTAAAGAGGCACAGAAGGCACCCATGCCAACTTGCCCCAGTCCCTCTTTGGTTCACTGTGTATTATTGAGTAGGTGCTTTTTTCCCATTATAATTTGGCTTTGCCATAAGAACTAATTTCCAAATAAATTGGTAAACAAGTCCCTACCAGTTAGTACAACAATTTCAGCTACAGAGTCTTCCAAGATTATATTTCTTATTAGAGCAAAAAGGTTCCTAATTGAATTAATATGCAAATCATGTTTACAGTTTGGAGTCTTGCCCTCTGTGATGTGCCGTGGTTTACCTTATCTATTATTATTTTTTTCTGGAATACTGCGACACAGTGTTCATGATTGTGAAGTTGTATCTTGGTGGTTAGAAAAAGCAACGGTCTTCTAGGTACCAATTTCCTGTGGGTTACAGGAATATCCCCTAATACTTACAATGCAATGGCCTGTGGATTATGATTTTTCTCTTTCATCTCTATTCAGAATTGCATTTTTCTAGAAAAGTCATCTACTGAGACAATTTTGAATTAGCTACATTTCCAAAGTAAAATCACATTTTTCATCTGTTAAACAACATTTTTGAAGCTTTCTTGAATCTGATAATTAAAATTATTCCAGTTCACATCTTATGTGCAGTCAATGTGAATTTAAAAAACTGAGTTCTAGTTGGTTTGGGAAGTAAGAACAGAGTGTAATGGGACATTATTTTCCTGATGAAAGATTTACCAAATATGGAGCTATTTTAGTTCTTATTGTTATCTTGGGCATCTTGCTCTTCATTTCTTTTTATCTCAGTGCATCAAATGGCTTATGTGTGATCCAGCAGAGACCTTGGGTACTGGGACACAGAGTACCTGGAATGTGCACCCTTTCTCAGTGCAGAGGAGCTGGCCTGTTTCAGGCTAGCCCAAGCGTGTATGTTCCATTCCCCCTGTTCCTCAATGAAACAGCACTGCAGTGTCAGGGTGTCAGGCTGGATTTTTTTTTTTTTTTTTTCAGGCAAAATAGCAAGGTTTATTAAGGCAGGGACATCCGTAAGGATGGATGAGCACCTCTCCAGACAGGACCTGGGAAAGAGTGCCATCGCTCGGATGGAGTTGGGGGGGGGGGGGCAGGTTACATGACTGAGTGGAAAGATTACACCTGGCCAGGCAGGCGGGCGGCTCAGCAGAGAGGCAGAGGGCTGAGCGCGCTGAGAGCTTGAGGCCGGGGGTTTTTAAGGAGATGGGTCTTGCTTCCCCACCTCTGTTCCCCTTGGAACAAAGGGCTTTTTGGATGTAAATAGAAAAACTTCTGAGTTTTCTCTTGAAGGTCTGAAACAAAGGACTTTATGGATGCAAATATTATCAGACAGGAGGAAGGGTGGGCAGGACCCCCTAGAGAATTGGGATCCAGGAGCAAGGTATTTGAAATGCAGATACTGGGCTGCACCTGAGAGATATCAGGTGGAAGGGGTCAGGGCAGGGCAGGATGTGAATACAGGGCTGCCCCTGAAACACCATCAGGATGACTTTGAGATGCAGCATATGCTGGACATAGATGTCTTCTCTTTAGGCCTTTATGTTGCACACACATAAGCTCATAACTGACTTCCTACCTAACATTCCCCCCTCAAGAGGCAATACCCAAAATTCTTCTTTGGGATTATGGATGGAGATCTGTTTTCTGTAACTTCTTCAAAGCTGGCATGTGGGCGTCAAGGGGGTTTTGGGTATTTCCTCTTGCTATATGTCTTATGGTGTGTGACAGTGGCCTTGGAAAGACTATCCTGCTCAGTCCAGAGGGCTGCTCAGGTCATCCAGTGGAATGGGCTGGAAGCCTTGTCTGACGACCATTTGGAGTTCGACAGCTTTTAGTCTGTTAGAGACAAAACGAACAAGGGCATTAAAAACATACAGTGCAAAGAGAAGCATCAAGATTACAGAACTTATTAGGCCAAGGAGAGGAAATAGCCAGGATTTCCATGATCAGATGCCAGGCCAGAAATCCCAGCCCTGCTTGACCTGGTCCTGGAGCTGTTTGGCTTTGTCCAGGAAAAGTACGAATTTGGATTTGTACCTGTCTAGTCTGATTGACCCAGAGACAACATTCTTTCTGGAACATGGCACAGACACCCCCCAGAACAGCAGTTAGCATGTCCAATATTTCTTTCTTTCATAACCTTTTGTGACTTCCACACACCCTCTTCAACTTACTTGAAACATTCCATCATTTCCATTCCAGTCTAGAGTAAACTAGCCATCAGGATTCTTACAAACCATGTCCTTTCCTTTTTTAAAAAGCTCTTTCCTTTTTAACCCTTTTTACCAACAAAACTCTTTCCCTCTAAACCTTTCTTACCAAGCACACATTTCTATATTTGTGATGTTTTCCATAGAGCCTGGTTGGCTCTTTCTACCTTAACAGAAGACTGAGGTCTCCATGCAGAGTGAAGGTGCCTTACAAATCCCTTGTGTGATCTAGAGCTCTGTTTAAGGCAATCAGTTCTGCTAACTGAGCAAAAGTTCCTGGGGGCAGAGCACGCTTCAATAACATGCCATGCCGTAACTGTTGCATACCCTGAGAAGCAGGTCCTGTCTGACAAAACTGTTTCTGTCTGTGAACCAAACCTCATCTGCATTAGTCAGGGGGCTGTCTCTTGGGTCCCTTCTGCTGGCATAGATCAAGTCTATAGTCTCAGTACAGGAGTGGAGGGGAACACTTTCCCCTGGAACTGGCATTAAAGTAGCCGGGTTTAGAGTAGAGCAATGCCTTATTTTTATCTGAGGGTTTTTTAGAAGGAGGACCTGATATTTTAGTATTTTACTATCTGTGAGCCAGTGAGAGCCCTTTTGCTCTAACAGAGAATTTATTTGATGTGAGGTATAAAGGGCGATATCTTGTCCCACTGTAATTCTAGATACCTCCTCTGTCAGGCTGGATCTTATGCTCTATTCCGATGTTGGCCGTATCCACCAGGCTGTTTACACAGAAGGGCCGTAATTCTCAGATTTGCAGATAGAGCATCACCAGTTGGGTTTGCTGTCAGGTTTTCTTGAAGTTTGTTTCCTGAGCCCTTAGTATCTGCCAGGCCCTGGGATATGGAAATACAATGGTGTTTGAAGGGAGCTCACTGTTGGCATCTCCCAGCAATTCTCAGAAAAACTCAGGATTCTCCCATGCATCTCAGTGTTGGGGAAGGTGAGTGGAGGAGATGTGGACCTTCCACATTCCTCCTTTCCCAGCTTCCTCTTCTCAAAACCTAAGGGTTCCTTTTTTTTCCTGTGAATTATAAAAAAAAGAATTACAGAAAAGCTAAAAAAAATGGTGTGAAAAATTCTTCCTCACATGACTGCAATGACCAGGGCTGTTCCTGACAGATACCAGGAGTTTCTTCCAGGTCTCCTACATGAGTGCAGGGACCCA